CCCTAGCCCCGGGTCCGGCCCTGCTGAGCCCCTCGGAGGGAGGTGGGGCGCTTCTCGGCGCTCGTCCTGTCGGTGCTGGTGTGCGCGGGGTCCGTCCTCCCTGCTAGGTGAAGCGGTTGCTTTCCTATTTAAAAAAAAGAAAAAGCAAACAGCCTCTCGCTTTCCTTCATCCCTTTCCCCTCGCTGCAGCTGCCTGGCTGAGGGGAGAGCTGGAGAAGCCTCCCTAGCGGAGCTATGGGCGGCTTTATCCCTTCCTCCGGTTGGGTTGCTCGCAGTCTTCCGTGTTTAAAATTACGTGTGCAAGCTGCATTAGGTATGGAGGTGTATGGACGTGAGTGTCAGCTGAGGCAGAGGGATTTAGTGGGCTGACATTCCTCTGGCTGCCTACGGGGCAGTCTCCAAAAGTGGCTCTCATGTATGGCTAATAAAAGCTGTGGAGGGGTTTGTGTGTGATGTAGTGAGTCTTTCCTTTAAAGTAAGGAGGAAACTGACTTACTCCCTGCTTTTGTAGAAGCTGAGGACTTATTCCTAGCGTTTTCTTTTTATTTAAGTTATGCCTTGAATGTTTAGTCGTCTTAGGCTTCTTCTCCCATTAATCTTTCATTCCACATTCAACAAATACCTGGTATGTTGGAGATGAGAGTATGTGCATGGGTATGCGCTGTTCACTTGGTTGCTGTACTCCTTGGATAGTTGGATCACTTTGCAGAAGGCTTATAGAAAGGAATTTCTGGAGTATGTACAGTACTGGAAGTGAAATAAGTTTTGTAAGTCTGAAAGTTCTGTTCAGCTGAGTTACTCCAAAGCAGGCTTTTTAGGGTTTTGAGGATTTTTTTTTTTAGAAGTTGGTATCTGTTCTTTTTAGATGTGAAACTTAACTATGAACAATAAAATCAGTATTTTAAGATACACAAAGGCTCTGGGCAATTGTGCTTATGTTTGTGATTTAAGGTATGCAGTTGTAGTATAGTATGAAGAAACCTGCAGGTATTACCAGTCGAAGTTTATCTTTGATCACTAATACAGATAAAACTCCCTTTTTCTGGATGTTGAAACCCAGATTGGTAGGTAGGCTTTTAAGACAAACCAAATAGTAACCTAGTAAACATTGACTTAGCAGTGCAGATTTTTTTTGGACATCAAAATGCACATATACATGTGGTGGTGGGTGTTTTTGAGACACTTCAAAAATATATTTGAAAGGTACTTTTCCTCTTTGCTCATCAGTGTAGTTTCTTAAATATAGATTGCTTTAAGAGAAGGGGATTCTGCAGTGGTTTGGAATGCAACTTGTTGGTTTGTTAAATATTACTCTGCTTATTCTTTTTTTTTTTTTTAAATGAAGACTTTTAAAATAATGTGTTCCATGAACTTTTTACATACACCATAAATACTTGTGTTGTAACTTCCCAGTTTTTGGGTTATGACTGGGTGCCTTGTGCTCGAGCAACCTAATCTGTGCTTTGTATTCTGCAGTACTTTAATCTTTAGGGATATGTATGTGCAACTTCTGGACGAAGCTTTGCTTACGATTTTTCATCTGTTACTCAGTCTGTTTCTCCCTCTGAGCAGAGATTAGGAATATTCTTAAGGGAAATGGGGTGGGTTTTCTCTGCATGTCACCTACTAACAGTAGTAGGAGTGCCTTGTACAATGTCTTGTATCTGAAAGGGAATAGATTCTCACAGGTTTTTTTGGAGGGGGAACCATTAAAAGAATGCATTGTGTATGACGTATTTTTGCTTCCATTTAACTTCTTTTATTTGTTGTACTGCTAGTGTGTAATATTTTAAGCTGTGGTTTGAATAGTAGTGTTTCACAATGAAGCTTTTTTTGTACAATTGGCAGCTCACATTCTGGAGCTCATGCTGTTCCTGTTCTGGTAAAGTGAGTATGAATCCCTCCCGACGCTGCTTGCGCAGAAAAATTTCTATTGACTCTTATCTCTGGAGCAATTAATTAGTTTAAAGTAAGTTTTTTGGCTCCATTACTCACACTTCAACTTTTGACTTAAAGGGTAAGGAAACGTGGCTTTCGAGCTGTAAAAATGCACACTAAAATAAAAGGAAACTTTTAGGAAATGTTGCTGCGCAGGACTTACTCGGTCCTTTAGTTTACTTTAAGTGAAGTGGATGGCTTTAAGTTTGAATAGCAGTCTACAATTGTCTCTTAGTGGCTGCTGCACATAAATTTTAAAGGGTAGCAAATGCATATCAAAAGCCACAGCAACAGGAAGCTTCCCTGCTGTCACTGGGTTGCTGGTTGGTGACACCTGTTTCTAGGCTGTGATATTAGCTGTCATGAGTTCGTGCTCTTACTTTAATTAGGTTACTCTAACAGTTTTTACCCTTATTGCTCAGGGCTGTGTATCTTTTGGGTTATATGACACATTAACTTGCCTTTTGATTGGAATTGCCTACTTAGATAGTCTTACCCTCCATGTGTTGTGGGTTTTTTTTTCTTTTTTCTGAGATACCAATATGAGGTGGCCTATAGCCAGGCTGCTCGGGAGAATTCATCAAGAACATCTTCCCAACCCACAACACGTGTGCATGCATGCCTATCTTGAATGTGTGCTTACTTTAGGTATCTTTTGAGTGCTGACAGACAGGTTGATTAACTCTTGAGTTAAATTGGGCATGTTTTTCAGAAAGACTCAACTGAACCATAGTGTATGGTGATAGTAGTCTAGGACATTAGCTTTTAATTTCAGTGGGTTTTTTGCATATACCAAGTTTTTATCCTCTTTATTCATTGGTTAAGTGGTGAATTTAGGAGAGGTAAGAGCTTGTTTTGAATTGACTTTCTCTTGCAGCATGTCTAGTACTTGGTTACTAGTTAGTGGTACCTTACTATTTGGAGGAAAGTAAAACTAAAGCGTATGCTGCATGCATGAAGTCTGAATGTAGCAATGCTACATTCATTGTTCATTTGCATCTTAATTCTTCTACATCCATACTTAAATTCCCATTCCTGTTTCTTTACTAGAAGAGTGAAGGAGATGCCAGTGCTCTTAGATGTGTGCCTGACTGATCTTGCCAGTACTTTGAGCTTTACTGTGAGATTTTTTTTCATTAAATAATTCATAAGTGAATCTGCAAATATTTACAGGTGATGTAAACACAAAATTCCAAAGCTTTGCTAGAACACTTTTGGACTGATATGTGACCATGAAAGTGAATAAGCCAAATTAGTCTTAAGACTGTTTCCTTCTTGCACTGATGTTGCGAATTCTAGTTGTGGGTCAGGCTGAGTTGTGCTATGGTACACAAAAAGATGGTAGCCTCATTTTTGCTTCAGTGTGCTGACTTCTTTGTTGGTTTGGGGATTTGGGGTTTTTTCCTACCTTTCCAGCTATGCCATCTGGTGGATAGATTTTCCCAGTCCATTCTAACTGTGGACAAGCACAGGAGTATGCACACACAAAACTGTCATGAATACAGCAGATGTGGAATATATTGTGGTTTGCCCCA